GCCATGGGGGTTTTGTCTTCGCAAGTTCGCCAGGCGAATGGCAGCGAAGCTTCGCCAGGCGAAGCCCAACGAGCTGTAGCGAAGCAAGTCAGAAGCTAACACCCTGTATTCGCTGGCAAGTTCGCCAGGCGAGGTGAGTTGGCGAAAGTTCGCCAGGCGAGTGTGTAGCGAGCCTCAGCGAGTAATTCCAGAATTACTCCCAGTGGACTTCGCTGGGAAGTTCGCCAGGCGAAGGCCAGCGAGCATTCGCTGCGTGGTTTCGCTAGGCGAAGGTTGGCGAACCTGGCAGTGTTATTTTGTTTTGCTGTTTGTTCATAGCATGATGTTTGGTTGATTTAATTATGATTAATGCCTATGTGAATGATTGATGTGTGAACTGTTTTGACATGTCGTGCTGTGGGTGGCCGAAAGGCGTGAATCCTAGATTGTAGAGTAAATGGTGAATCTTGAACGTTTGATAATCTTGTGTATTTGCTTGAATTGAATGGAGACGCATTGATAGGCTAATATGTGTGTAAACCATGTGTGGGATGGTGCATAATGTGAATGCATGATAGATATATGCGATGTATGTGATAAATGCAATGAGTATGTTTGTGAGCATAGTATGCATTTGTGTGTTGATTGATCCCTCGGAGGATTTGCAGAACCTCGTATGATACGATGGTTATATTTGATTCCTTGGAGAATCGGTTGCATTGTGTGATTCCTTGGAGAATCGGTTGCATTGTGTGATTCCTTGGAGAATCGGTTGCATTGTGTGATTCCTCGGAGAATCGGTCATAACATGTAATCCCTTGGAGGATTGGCTAGAGTATTTGATTCCGTGGAGAATCTGCTGAGTACTTGATCCCGTGGAGGATCTGCTGAATATTCGATTCCGTGGAGAATCTGATGAATATTTGATTCCATGGATAATCTGCTGAGTACTTGATCCCGTGGAGGATCTGCTGAATACTCGATTCCTTAGAGAATCTGTTGAATGAGTCGGTACCGCATTTGCATCTGCATAGAGTCGTGTGTCGGTCTCTATGAGTTGCATGGGTCATTTGTGTATGATGCATTAGTTGTATGAATATAACTGTGTATGTTATATATGATTGTTGGGGAGAAACATATAGTAAATGTTCACGTGCATGTGTAGCGACATGATTAATTGTATATGCTTAATGAGGTGAGAACATAATTTGAGTATAACTTGTACAAATGTGAGTATATGTATATATACAATTTTATGCATTAACTGTTATGATATTGTTTCTCACCCTTCTGCTGTTTTATAATGCTCTATGAGGCATTGCAGAGTAGGAAGCTGGAGGTTCTTTTTGTGAAGCGATGTCTTCATTCTTTTTGGTCAATGGCTCTGATATGTAACATCTGGGTAGTTAGGAAGCCTTTGACTCTTTTGGAGTTACATTTGTTTTGATTCTTTTGTGATACATATGTGTATGTATCTGCTGTGGATATGTTGTAAAGCATGAATTAACTGATGGTTGTATATACTTTTATGAATGTGATCGATTCAATATTTGGATGTTTCCGCTTTATTCTAAATATTGAGATGTGGGTTACCCATTGTTGCATATCTATTTTGAGCAGGTATCGTATGTGTTTAATTTCATGATAATGTGATGCGCCTCTTTTATACCATGTTTTAATTAAACTCTGATGAAATAAATTTTCTAAGTGCCTAATTGATTAAATATATTAATTTGGGGGTATAGAAAGGGGGTGTTACAGTGAAGATGAGCTGATACACTATGCTTTCTATGAAAATGTTGAATCAATCAATGTAGCCAAGACATTGAAGGATTTGAAGTGGATTAAAACAACGAATGTGGAACTGAAGTCCATCGAAGTCAATAACTCTTGGTCACTTGTTGAATTGCCCCAAGGCAAGAAGGAAATCGATGTGAATTCAGCATACAAGATGAGTTTGAATCCCAAATGAGAATTATCTCGACACAAGGCAAGACTTGTGGAGAAAGGATTTCTTCAGAAAGAAGGAACCGACTTCGACGAAGTTTTTGCACATGTTGCTAGGATCGAAACAATCAGGTTAGTTGTTGATCTAGCAAACATGAATAATTGACACATATGCCATATGTATGTGAAATGTGTATTCTTGAATGACTCATTAGATGAATAAGTTTATGTTGCACAACCATTTGGTTTGTGAAACAAGGTGAAGAAAATAAGGTATACAGGCTGCATAAAGTCTTGTATGTCTTAAGCAAACTCCAAGAGTTTGGAATAACAAGATAGACAATTTTCTAAGGGAGAAGAAATTTGTGAAGTGCACAACTGAGTATGCAGTATATGTAAGAAGAATCAATAGTGAGTTATTTATATTATGTCTTTATGTCGATGACTTGCTGATAACACGAAGTTGCAAAAAGCGGATCAAAGGCTTCAAACATGATTTGAGTAAGGAGTTTGAAATGTCATACTTGGAAAATCTCTCATACTTCCTTAGTATCGAATTCTACATGAGTAGTAAAAACTTAATGTTGCACCAAAAAAGATATGCAGGTGAAATAATCAAGAGATTTGAGATGAAAGATTGTAACCCAACTTTGACTCCACCTTAGCCCAATTTGCAATTGTCGAAAGACACAAATGAAGATGATGTCGATCCAACACAATACAGTAGATTCATTGGGTCACTTCGATACCTTTATCGCACAAGGCCTAATCTAGCATATAACGTAGGTATGGTGAGTAGATTCACACAGAAGTCAAAGGTATCACACCTAGCAGCAACGAAGAGGAAACTAAGGCATCTAAAAGGAACTCTCGACTATGACATTTTGTTTCTTGCAGCTAATGAAGGAAAATAATGCAAGTTAGTGGGTTACACCGACTCAAGTTGATGTAGTGATGCTAAGGATAAACAATTTCACTACTTGCCATGTGTTTATGCTAGGTGGTGTACCGGTTGTTTGGAGTTCAAGAAAGGAACCAGTAGTGACACTGTTGTCATGTGAAGCAGAATACATAGTTGTTTCTCTATATTCCATGTCAAGCAACGTGGATAGTGAATTTGGTCGAAGAGATTACAGAGAAGAATCATAGATAAATTACCATGAAGATCGACAACATGCCGACTATCAATCTGGTGAAGAATCTGATAACACATGGATGGGACAAACACATCGAAATGAGGTTCCATTATCTTTGAAAGCAAGTAGAAAAAATGAGGCTGAACTTGAAACACTGCAAAACTGAGAATCAGATTGCAGACATCATGACGAAAGGAGTGAAAGTTGAAGTGTTCAAAAGACTAAGGTCTATGATGAATGTAGATAGCTTAGATACAATGAATTAGGTGGTGTGTTGAATTGTAATTTGTTGTGTCGAAGCGGGTTGCTCGATAAAGTCAAGGAAATTTTAAATTGTCTTAATGGTGAAATGTATCTCGACAGAATTATGACTTAGACTAACTTTGTAATTTTATATGAATTTGTTAGGTTAGTTGGAGATTGTTTGGTGTGCAAACAATCTCAACATATAAATAGGAAGATACCTTATTATTGATCGTAATACAACACAGAAATGTAGTTGCACAGTTGAATATAAAATCTCAGTTTGAGAGTAGAAAGAAACTCTCCAAAATTCATAACTCTTCTTTTTTTTCCTTTTCATGTTGAAACCCCAATTCTCTTTGTTTTCCAATTCATTTTTTTTTTCCTTTCATTATCGTTGTGATGCGATATTACCTTACAATCAAGACATGGATGATTCATTAGAGTGAAGAGTGAAGAACAAGAGGAATAATCAATTAAAAAGATTGACTCTTATTCATCAAAATTTTTTTTTGATTTAAAATTCATCAAGTTTTAGTGAAATTCTTGAATGGGAATTGACGAATTTCCAAACAAAAATTCGTATCGAAAATTTGCTTTTAACTATTGAAAATTTCGTTTTTTTTACGGATTAATAAAAGTGAAAATTTATTAAAAAAAATATAAATACAAATTTAATACCCCTTAAGGTCTGTCATATTAGTCCATTAATTAACTTCACTTGGTGTTAGTTACTGCTTTCGCTGCAGAGCAGAGAGGAGATCTTGTTCAAGTTTAGGGTTTCACATTTCAGATTATTTGGTTTTTCTTCTGTGAGCTTTAATGTTTTTCAAGGTTCTATTCATTCTCTTTCTTTTTCAACTCCTCTGTTTTTTCTTAGGTTCCATTTAATCATTGCTTTTAAATGATTTATTTCCTTTCACATTGAAATTATTAAATTTATACTGTAATCTGCATTCCATCAATGCGAGCTATATTTCACAAGTTGACCTGATTGCAATGTAATTGTTGTGCTGATTAGTTAGTAACTAGAATTCAGGATATTTCATTTTGAAATTGTCATCTTAGAAATGTGAGTTGCTCGAATGATTTTGATCTTTGTACAGCTCATTTTCTTCAAACATTTAGGTTTTGTTTGAGAGTAGGGAGGAAGGACTTAACGGGGAATGGGAAGGAGAAGGGAGAGTAGCCTCTCTCAAAATTATGTAACCGTAGGGTTTTAAAAAACGGTCGTGATCGCGTAAATGTTTTTGCGATTTTCAGTCATACAGGTGTCGCGACACTGATTGCGGTCATCACAGTGTGAATTAATCACAATTTGTTCTTTAATATAGAAAACGGTGATAACGGTATCAGTATCGGCATATGCCAAAACCGTTTTGTCGCAGCCACTTTTGCGGTTATATCTTCAATCTTTGATCCTTCTGAGCCGAACACAGTGTATTGTGCTGTACTCCCAGAGAAATTAAGGCCATGAAACTTGATCGTATGTAGGTATACCTCCTCCAATGTTTGTGCTTTTTCATTTCTGTACAAATTTCTAGGGCTCAGTTTGTGATATTATTTTAATTCTTTTTTGGAAGATTCACATGTTTCTCTCTGAAGCTGGTGAAAATTTTCCATGATTATCATGATATTTGTATCAGTTTTGCTCGTTTCGTGCTTTCTTATAGTCTGTTGTGTGTGCGCACAGCCATGGATAAAGAGATTTTGAAAAAACGTTCAGAAGAGGCGCGTTCAAAAAGAAAGTTGATTTTAAATCAAAGACGTCCTAGCAAAATCAGGAGCTTTACTGAAATTGAAAATCTGCGTCATCATGCCAATGATGGTATTGTTTAACTTTACTATGAATCTGAGTTATAGTTTATAACCACTTAATTTCTTCCACTTAGTTAGATTTCTCACTATTTTCTCACTATTAATTAGAGACAAGTAGACACTCAATGACAACACCTGTGTCATATTATTCTAAGGAGCAAGAAACTTCATTTATCAATCGTAACACATCTGCTACAATGTTTGGACGATCTTTGAAATCGAGTAGACAGATTATTGGAGAAAACCATCATGTCAGGGAACCAGAATTTCATTCTACCACTCATCTTGAGGAAGTTGAAGGTAAAAAGATTGGTTACATACTAATCATTTAATTATTAACTTACCTATGAAGGTGCGGATTCCTCCGACAGCGAGTAAGGGTTTGCAGTGTGGATATTGATTCAATATGAGTTAATCTTAATTATGCATGTGTGTTGAGCAGGAAGAGGAGTGTGTTCTTTGACTGCAAAGAAGATGTCATTTCCATCAGTACCGAGTGATGGCTTTCTCACAAATCCTATTCCCAATCTTCCAACAATTCACAGTCCGATGTTAATACCCTCAATAGGTATCAACTCCCCAGGTATTCCGTTTTGCATCTGCTTTTTGAAATATCTGTCCTTGAATTCTCTTGGCATTAAAAAAAGATCCATTCCTTTCAATTTTTCTTTTTTTTCTATTTCGATATTTATGCTGAATTATCACTTAAATTGGTTTCCTATGCTAATAATTAATCATGTGATAATGAATGGTGTTGGGTCTATAGTTCTTTTTTACGGCATGCTATTACACTTTTCTACTGTCAGACCAATTATTTTCTAGTCATGCAAACTCATGCTTATATGCAGATGTAATCATCAGACGGGCAGCAATGTATCAGGATTACATGCAGCAGATCCCAATCCCGTGTAATCGAGGCTCTGTCATCCCATTTGCTTCATGGATGGGATTAGGCACATCCATTAAGAAGCTATATGGACAACCACTTCATTACCTTACAAATACTTTGCTTAAGCAATGGGACCAAATGAGAATTGGAAGCGATGATGAGTATATGCGCTTAGATGACATAATTCATCCATGCAAAGCTGAGGCCACCGTCTGGCTCATGGAACAAGTCCATCGCCAAGTCTCGTCGCATATTCATATTGCTAATCTCTGGAAGAAGGACCCAACGCACAATGGTTATGTTGATTCCATTTTCTCAACTTTACAGCATACATCATGAAGCCTTGTTATTTTCTGTTTTAGACTATTTTCCGTTTAAAAACACGCCGCATTGTAGTGTTTGTCCCTCAGGACACTGTTAATAATATTTCAGTCTTTAGTTACAATCCTGGATTGAAAATTTTGTATGACATTTCTCAAATACAGGATGTTGTGAATTTTGTTGAACAAGAATTATATACTAAACTGACAGGTTTTTAGTTGTTTCCTATGCTTTCTGAGATGCTCTTTCTTCTGTTCATCAATATCAAGTAAGACATTGGTTGTATCAGCAACATATCCCTCCTGGCTTAACCTGCAGTTTATTTCCTTTTGCATTAATTTAATTTGGTTGTTCACGGTGTGTGATTCGTCGCCAGAGGTGAATTCGCGAAGCAATCTGAGAACTTCTATTGAGCTTGATCCAGGCACTTTTTGGAACCCTTTCTCCTTCATTTGCAACCTCACTCTTGTTACATGCTGTCAATAGTGCGACAAAAACAAAACCATCTTGGATCACCTCTTGTTTGAGCATCTCATTAAAAAGCTCAATATCACCTTTTGCATTTCCTTCCACTGCCATTATTTGGATGGCTGCAGTCCATACAGACAGTTTTTTTTTCTTCATATTTCCAAAAACACGCATAGCATTCCGAGGATCACCACATCTATAGAAAATGTATCATCCAAAGCTGTGCCAAGTTGCATGTCAATGTGAATGTCATTTTTCTCAATGTAAGCATAGATCAGCTTAGCAAGATCAAGAGTTCCTAAATATCCACATGCAGAAACAATACCAACCATTGTCACATTATCTCCTCTAATCCCTTGGTTTTGCGTCTCCTTGAATAAACCAATTGCCTCCTCAAACGTGTTTGCTTGAACCATGGCAGTGGCACCAATCATAGTGTTCCAAGATACAAGATTACTCTCTGGCATCTCACCAAAGATTCTCAAAGCTAATTCCATGTCACCTGCTCTAACCAAACCTGAAATCAGAGAATTTCATGTCACCACTGTCTTGTTTGACACACTGTCAAAAACTTTGCAAGCAGCTTTTCTTTTGCCACATTTCATGTACACATGTCAATGATCCCAACTCTCTAGTCCATTCCTGAAGATATAAGCATGAGACGACTTCCCAACAGAAAGATCACCCAACTTTCCGCAGACTGCAACTGTAGATAACATGGTTGCCTTATCTGGTCGCAGTCCTTTTCGCAACATTTCAACCAAAACCACTAGCACTTCACCAGCCATCCCATGTTAGCACATAATTCGACATGATAGTATTGTACACAACCAAATTCTTATCACTAAATTCAGCAAAAACACTCTTTGCAGCACACATGTCTCCACGTTTCAAATACATATCAAGCAGGGCATGCACCGTGAGCATATTAGGTTTACAGAAAAGTTATTTTGACATCTAAAAAGATGTCTCACACCGTATTTATATACGGTTGTGGATTTTATAATAATTTTTTATCTCTCGGAATGCTTTTAGGTTAAGCCCCAACTCGGTCATCAAACAGCACACTTTTTTACCCAAATCAAAGTCCTTCAACTTGGCACAAGCAGATATAGCACAAACGACAGTCACCGGATTCGGTTCAATACCTGCCTCAACCATCTCCTTAGTCATATCAACCACATTATAATCATTAATCAAACTAGTCCAAGACACAACATTCCTCTCAAGCATTTTGTCAAACACATTTCGTATCTTTCTCCAAACCCATCTTAATAACCACCCCATGAACCTGAACACTCTCAGAAAAAGCCACACTTTTAGAGCAATCATTAAGCAAAAATGGGAAGATCAACTTTTCAGGAACAACACCCATCACTACTGCCACTACTACATGTGAAAGTAACCCCGGCCGTCCCAAAAACCTATGTTCTAATCTTTAAATTGGATCTATAGGAAAAAAGAAAAAAAAAGCACAAAATTATAGGGGATTGTTTATCAACTTAAATGGTGGAAAAGTATCTTAAAAGAATTTGGAAGTGCACTTTTACACCAAAAGCTGTTTTAATTACGGATGGTAAATTGGGCAGTCTGTCCCGTTTAAATCCGTCTAAAAGCGGAGCTGAGCATATTAACTTATGCGTTCGAGTTTAAAAGTCAAATTTCCTAAATTTAATAACGAATTAGCGGATTGGCGGACCGGTCCATTAATTTTTTATTTTACTACATAATTTACAAAAAAATTATTTATTATAAAAGAAATCGACAAAATGTTTTTTTAAAAACACATAAAAGAACTTCAACATATCTTAAATTCAAACCGTTCAAAAAATAAAATAAATAAAGATCAATTACAAAAAAAAAAAAACTCAAGCACAATAAAAACATATTAAAATAAATAAATAAATAATACATATAATCATAATCCTATTTAAAAACTAACTAATAAAAGAACCCAATTAATAATTTACAAAAGACAAACAATGATAACAATTACATTGTATGAAATATCACACTGCATAAAATAGTAGTGCATAAAATATCAATGTCTTACTTTCTTACTGTTTATATCATATAGACTCTTATATTGACTGATTCCTTAATAGTTAAATCCTAAATTTGTCAACTTAATAATTCAGCATGACATACCATTGTTCTTTTATTTTAAGTTTTTCCAATCAACACATGTATTATAAAATTATAGAAAGAACGTTACAATTATAATTCATTTTGTTTGTATAATAATTTATAATACAATCCAATCAACATAAATCTAAGAGAAGAGTGTTGTTTTTATAAAGTTGTAATAAAAAGTTTTAACAAAAAGCTCGTGGAAAAAACCCGGTCCGGTCCGATCCACTTTTTCAAACGGGTTAGGCGGGGCGGTCTAACTTAAAGTACCAAGCTAAAAACCTCAGCGCAGTCCAGCCGGCCAAAAATGACAGGTCAAACAGACCAACCCGGCGGTCCCGACCCGTTTTGACAAAAATTCTAAGGTACGAACTTGCACAAATAAGTTACTAAAACTGTTAACTTTCTTCTTTACCCAACTTACTTAGTACTTCTGATACTATATGTAGGTTGATTATAGTCTTCTAACTTTGTTTTTTAGTGGGGAAAAACCTAAAATTTTGTGATGGAGTTGAAAAATAAAATATAATTAATTTTTTACACTTACTATAGTCTATTATCTTTGGTGCTTAGTGATGAAAAAAAACCTAATACTTGGGGATGGTGAAGGAAAACCCTAAAATATTTGTCATTCATTTATAGTCTTTTAACTCTCTGGCTTACTGACTATGAAACATGACTTTTGGTGATGGAGAAGAAACATATTGAATATATTTACATCTAATTTACCATAAATAAATGTGAAAAAGGTAAATATAAATAAGCTTGAGCTTCATTTTTTAATTTTTATTTTTACCTATATTATATAAAATATATGTCATGGATTATAGTCTTTTAACTTTGGTTTTTAGTGGGGAAAAACCTAAAATTTTGTGATGGAGTTGAAAAATAAAATATAATTAATTTTTTACACTTACTATAGTCTATTATGTTTGGTGCTTAGTGATGAAAAAACCTAAGACTTTGGGACGGTGAAGAAAAAACCTAAAATATTTGTCATTCATTTATACTCTTTTAACTCTGTGTTACTGACGAAGAATAATGAAATTTGGTGATGGAGTAGAAACATATTGAATATATTTACATCTAATTTACCATAATTCAATGTGAAAAAGGTAAATATAAATATGTTTGAGCTTAATTATTTAATTTTAATTTTTACCTATATTATATAAATAATATGTCAAGGATTATAGTCTTTTAACCATGTTTTTTAGTGGGGTAAAACCTAAACTTTTGTGAAAGAGTTGAAAAATAAAATATAATTAATTTTTTACACTTACTATAGTCTCTTATGTTTTTTGCTTAGTGATGAAAAAAACATAAGATTTTGGGAAGGTGAAGAAGAAACCTAAAATATTTGTCATTCATTTATAGTCTTTTAACTCTCTGGCTTACTGACTATGAAACATGAAATTTGGTGATGGAGAAGAAACATATTGAATATATTTACATCTAATTTACCATAATTCAATGTGAAAAAGGTAAATATAAATAATTTTGAGCTTCATTTTTTAATTTTTATTTTTACCTATATTATATAAAATATATGTCATGGATTATAGTCTTTTAATCTGTTTTTTAGTGGGGTAAAACCTAAAATTTTGTGATGGAGTTGAAAAATAAAATATAATTAATTTTTTACACTTACTATAGTCTATTATGTTTGGTTCTTAGTGATGAAAAAATCTAAGACTTTGGGACGGTGAAGAAAAAACCTAAAATATTTGTCATTAATTTATACTCTTTTAACTCTGTGTTACTGATGAAGAATAATGAAATTTGGTGATGGAGAAGAAACATATTGAATATATTTACATCTAATTTACCATAATTCAATGTGAAAAAGGTAAATATAAATATGTTTGAGCTTAATTATTTAATTTTAATTTTTACCTATATTATATAAATAATATGTCAAGGATTATAGTCTTCTAACTTTGTTTTTTAGTGGGAAAAAACCTAAAATTTTGTGATGGAGTTGAAAAATAAAATATAATTATTTTTTTACACTTACTATAGTCTATTATGTTTGGTGCTTAGTGATGAAAAAAAACCTAAGACTTGGGGATGGTGAAGGAAAAACCTAAAATATTTGTCATTCATTTATAGTCTTTTAACTCTCTGGCTTACTGACTATGAAACATGAATTTTGGTGATGGAGAAGAAACATATTGAATATATTGACATCTAATTTACCACAATGCAATGTGAAAAAGGTAAATATAAATAAGTTTGAACTTCATTTTTTAATTTTTATTTTTACCTATATTATATAAAATATATGTCATGGATTAAAGTCTTTCAACTTTGTTTTTTAGTGGTGAATAACCTAATTTTTTTTGATGGGGTTGAAAAATAAAATATAATTAATTTGTTACACTTACTATAGTCTATTATGTTTGGTGCTTAGTGATTAA